TCAGTTTTCTGACATTTATCTACCTGGAGCTTTACTATGTACTGGGAGCACTTTAATATGCGTTAACTCAATTCTCAAGTGGTTCTAAAGTAGTTATCATCCACATTCTACAGTTTAAAAGTACCAAAGTGGGCTGAGGGTGTAGCTCAGTGGAAGACCATATGTTCATCTTGCTCAAGGCCCTGGGTTTAATCCTCAATAACCAAAAATTAACTAAAAATATTAAAGTGAGAGAGGTGAAGTAAAACTATGGGTTACACAGCTAGTAAGTGGCAGAACTAGATCTGAAACTGAGTCTGATTCCAAAATGGAAGCTCTTAGCCTCTAGACCCTGACATTCACAAGTTTTACAGACCATACATCTCTCCTGTATGCCCATGTTGTATTTCTCTAATTGAAAGTGTATGGTGATGTGGGATCTTTCTTGGATCTTACATCACACTTTGCAACTATTTTAAAAAAGACAAACAGCAAAATCTGTGCAATGACTAGTTGCTTGGTGACATTATGAATATATTTCTTGAAGGTGTGATAATGGTATTGTGGTTAGAGTAAAAACAAGTCTTTATCTTTTATAAATTGACAGTGAAGTGTTTACAAATAAATACGTTTGGGATTTGATTCAAAACCATCTGGGAGGCAAAGACGGGGTGCAGGATGTATAACAAGATTGGCCCAGGGATGATTAACTATAGAAGCTGGATGATGGGTACATAGGCTCCTTAAGAGAAGTTTCCCTGCTTCTGCAAATGCTCAAAAATTTCCATAAATGAAAAAAATGTACATAAAGTGGGAAAAAAACATGATGTTAACATATTTGGAAAACAGAACTATAAACGATTTTTCCCATTCTATTTTTTTGTATTTTTCATATTTTCTTTAAGTATTATTATAATGAAACATATAAAATAAACTAAAAACTTCACGTATTGCTTGTACGATGATCTTTGACTCTGGATGTTCTCAATTTTCTGTAAAAAGGCCTGACCAAGATCACCTATAATCTTTTTTTCCCCATTAAGTTTATTGGTACATTTAAAGCAAACAATAGTTACATTTATCATTGGGATCTTGTACCTTTACATGATATAACTTGATTCTGATCACCTATAATCTAATGGAGTCAAAAAATCATGGCTGAGCCAGGTGTGGTGGTGCATACTTGTAATCCCAGCCTTCGAGGAGCCTGAGGCCAGAGAATGGCTGAGAGTTCCAGGCTAGCCTGGGCTACTGAGTTAAAGTCCAGCATGAACTACATAGTGAGACCCAGTCTCAAAATGAAAACAAAGACAATAACATCATGGCAAAAGTATTTCTTACCTCTTTATCATCTAATATTTACATACTTTTAGACAGACGTCTGTAAGGATAGGTTAGGACCTTTATAAACAAGAGTGTATAAAGGTACATAAATGTAAATCCAATTACACTGACTTATCAAAAATAACCAATAATACAGTTTCTTTTCATAACTAGGCAGAGTTTGGGACAAAGGCCTTGGATGTGGAGCTGAGCTTCCTAAAGGCTAGATAGGTTTCAAGGTAGAGTGTCTGTCCTCAGCCTTCGGTACTTGCTGTCAGAGGGGGACTGGGGACAACCAGAGTGCTCAGGCAAATTGTTCTCTGTGGGCCACCTCCAGCTTTTACCAGTGTACAATGATTTTCACATGTGTCATGAAATGAAAACAATCTGAGAAGCACTGATTTAAGGTAGACCTGTCTTGATCATTACACAAAAGCTAAGTATGAAAAGCAATAGCAAAATGAAATTTCTTTAAATTTGGTATGGGAAAAGAACTAATACTCATGTTATAGGTCTCCATTACTGTTTTCTCACTTTTTTTTTTTTTTTTTTGGTGCAGTGACTGAAACCAAGGTCTCAAATATGTTCTACTAAGCTATATCCACAGTCCTCTAATATTTTTTCTATCTGCACCCCCCCAACATCCCACTTAGGAAATCTTAATGATTATTCAACACCATTCAATGAGAGGAATTCCAAATATAAATATTACCTCAGTGGTACAAAGTTAAATTTGGGGAACTGGCGTAGAATCCAGATTCCCTTTACCACTGCTAAACGCATTTGAGTTAAGTCTGAAATAAATTGTTTAAGTACTGAAGTATCCTTGGAAAAACTTTTGTATCACAGAAATTTAGAGTTGTAAAGATATAAATGACAAAAACCTGAAACCCAAATACGTGCTCAAATTCATAGCAACTGAAACAGGACTAATGCCCAGACCTCCTGGCTCCCAAAACTGCACTTTCCGAGACACTCCTGAGAGTTACTGCTAATTGCTTCTTTTAATCTAAAACCATAAAACAATGTCCAAGTACTTCCTGTTCTTCAGGGAAACAGGATCTTTGGTTAATTTTCAACTAGAAAATCACTGAGGAGCTGCAACTTTAACTTTATGCCATTAATCAATCTCACATTTATGAAACTTAAATATAAGTTCCTTCATTCTTTGTTTGTGAAATACTAAGGTAACCTTTCTGTTCTTGCACAGCGTAGAAAATATCCTTTAAAATCAAACTATTAAGTCCTTTTTTATATAATTATGTCAAGAACATACTGTAACATCAAGACCTATATAAATATATGTCACATTTGAAAAAAGCTGTATCCTATAACGAAGACCCACTCATGGAATTTCTTTTCTTGTACTGAGAAAGTAGTTTAGACAAGAGGCATTCCCAACTAAAAAGACAATATGAGACTGATGCAGAAGTAGAACAACGAAGGAGCTGGAGATACACAGTGATTCAGTAGTAAAGTGCAGCCTGGCATTTGGAAGGTCTCAGGTTCAATTCCTAGCAGCAGCAGAAATCCCCTCCCCCAACCCCTAACACACAAGAGAACCAATGCCTTAATATAGATCCAGCGAAAGAAAAAGAGAATCCAGCGAAAGAAAAAGAGAAAGAAGGGAATACAGAGATTAAAAAAAGGAAAAACTAAAAAGGTATTTGCATGAAATCTTTACACTTAAAGAGGGCAGCTCATAGGAAAAACATTAAGGAAGTTGTAACTTCTGTTCCCACAGCGACTGAGGGTATAAAGCAATAACAAACAGAACCTTTGAATTCTATAAATTTTTCTTGCAAAGTTTCAGCAAGAAAAACCAAAAAGTTCTTTCTTCAGAAGACAGTGTTTTCTCACACACTCTAGCACGTGCCTTAGCTTAACCTGAAACCCAAGAACGCAAGCTGTTTGTCATCAGCAATGACATCTGAGTTGGTTCTTCGTTTTTTTCTTGACTCAGACGGCCAATTCTGCAAGTGTTGTTTCTTGAAAGCCATCAAGATAAGTGAAGGTAGTAAGGTTCTCCCAGCACCATTATCCAAACCATAAAAGTCTTGTACCCAAAATAGGCTTGCATTAATGATCGGAACTTATTCCTGATGTCTAAATTTCACATTCTTGGAAAAGGAGCCTTCTTGTAACTAAGTAACAAGAGACATAAGGCTGTCTAGTTAAATTAGAACTGGGGGTCTGGAGTGTAACAGTTAAAAAGCAGTAATTCTTTTAGGATGGAATTTCTCAATTTTTATAGATCTATAACCTATCTGTGAATGGGGGGGCGTGACAGGAAAAACAGGTAGTTTCTCAATATTCTTTGGAATTCTTTGCATTTATGTGCAGATCACCTGTTTTGTTACAGAAACATCTTTTCAACTCTACAAAATGTATTTACAGTACTTTCACTCTTTAGATTTTGACCTGGATAACTACTAATTCAAACTCAAAGATCTGTAGGGAGGAAAGACCACTGAATGGGGCATGATCTCACTACTGATCACCCGGACTGTAGCTGTTTTCCCTGCTACCCAACACTTTCCTTTTAGATCTGTCTTGAATTCGACTGCCAGCTTCATTTCTAGAATTCTTCTTTCAAGGAGTCTCTCAGGAGAAGCTTCAAAGACTGCTAACTACCTATCACATGTAGCTTAAATTCTTCAATTTAGTCTTCTTTAGGCTGGCTCTAACCAACTGTTCAATTTTGTTTCATGTTCTTTGTCGCTCTTTTCTGCCAATTCCTTTCGGAGCAGTAAGACCTAAACCTAATTCAACTACTTACTCTCTAATTCCTCAGGTAGCCCATGCTGTCCCTCTTCCAGCAGTACAGATCCATTAGTCTCCCAGGGTTTCATCATTATCTTTCATTAAAAAGGACACTGCATATCCCAAAGCACATTACCATCTCAAACAGCTGTTCATTTTCCCAGCCTTCCCTTGCTAAAATGAGAGGGAGTCGCTTGCAGTTCAGGCACGGGAACCCCTATTCCGCGTCTTTTAAGACCGGGAGAAAGAGGCTTTGGGCAGGTGCAAACTATAAAGAGGAGAGCAGATAAAGCAAAACGAGAAGGGGGTCTGTTCTCTGTACTTTGAAGTCTCTGCCTTAGCAAGAGCAGGGAGACCCCAAGAAAAGAATTCTGAAGCACAGAAGGGACTTGCAGTGCTCCTTAGGAAGGAATTAGATGCCTAGGGCCTGAATTAACGAAGGGGCCACCGGTATCCCTGGCAGGACAGAACAGGTTACACGAGAAACAAAGAAGCTGGAAGTCGGAAGGCGAGGGGCAGAAAGGGCAGAGATCCGGGCATCAACGGAGCTCGAATCGTAAAGAAATGGGAGGGGCCGCGACGCATCCCTCATGGGACTGGCAGAGGAAGTGGTTGTCAAGTGGGACTAGGCAGGTGCCCTGGAAGGCTCTGGGAGCGAGCTATGGAGCTTTGCTTCTAAGATGACGCGGGGGTGGGGAAGTGTTTTTGAGTGAGGTTGTGTTCCGTACGGAGAAACGCTTCCCTGGGCAGTGCTATCCCAGAACGGAAATCCTGGGGAGGCGGAAAACGCCGAGGAACCGGCATTTCCCGGCCCCAGCCCTGGTCCCCTAACACTCACCGAGTCTCCTCCACACGCCACCGCTCCAGCTGCAGCTACCGGTCAGCGCAGCCGCAATAAACGCTCACCGGCCACGTGACACGCCAGGCCCGGCCTTCTTCATGTGACCCATAGTGTCCCGCCCCCGCCTCCACGTGATCTGGGTTCGCCCCACCCCCCCTTCGGCAAGATGGCGGCGCCCAGTTGTAGTGCGCCTGGCCTCTGCGGCCCGCTTTTGAGGAGTCTCTTTACTCTTGTCTCAAAGCCATTTTGTTCCACCGCTGCTGCATCCAGGCCTCTGGACGCCCAGCAATTAGCGGAGAAACTCCGAGCCCAGAAAAGGGAACAAAAGAGGAAAGAGGAGGCGGTGAGCTGGGAAGGACCATAATTCCCAAGAGGCAGTGCGCTTATTGGTTTCCCAGACCAGGGGTGGTAGGAGGGTCATCTGACAGCAAGTAACTACCTGTGGGGGATGTATGGTGGGAGAATGAGGAGACCCTGGAGGGGAGACGTCAGTAGGGTTTCATTGTCATTCTGTGGCTCATTGACACTGCCCGGATTAGTCCTAACCACAGCGTGCCTATGCAGGTTAAAGACAGCACTACATGTGCAGTTAAATTACTTGAGAAAGGCATGAGTCTGGGTTACCAAATTATCACCCAGACCTTAATGAAGGCCTTTCTCCCTGTTCTCCACAGTTTTCTCACCAGGAATTCCCCCCGCCCTTTCTGTCCCACTAGGTGCCCACAGACCCTGTTCAGCGGAGGGTGCAGGAACTAGTGCGGTTCACACAGCAGCTGCAACGAATTCATCCCAACGTTCTTGCTAAGGCACTGAGCCGAGGGATTCTCCACCAGGACAAGGATCTTGTGGTCATCAATAAGCCGTACGGTCTCCCTGTCCATGGTAAGGACTATTTGGTCAAGGTATGAGGGACCTGCTGCCGCTTTCTGCTATAACTAGGGGAGAACCTTGAAGTATTACACGGGAGACACTGTTGCATTCAAATGAATTAAAACCTTGTGGAATATTATCCTATGTAAGGCATTTACAAGGACAGGCATAAATAAGGTAGTCCCCATTTCCAAACATCTGGCAGTAGTAATTCCTGTGTACAGACCAGCACAGGAATTGCTTTTGAGAAATGCAAAGACTGTGTGCTGTTAGCATTCAGGTTATTTTCCATCAAAACTCACAAGAGCCAGGTATGGTGTCATGGGCCTGTAATCCCTGCTACTTGGGAGGCTGAGTATTAAGAGTTTGCAGCCAGTCTGGGCAGTATATTGAGAGCCGTGGCTCAAGAATAAACAAACAAAAGTTGGAAAGAGGAAATAATAGGTAAGAGGAAATGAGGGAAGGAGGAGAGGGAGGGAGGAAGAGAGAGAGAGAGAGAGAGAGAGAGGCTAGTTTTGGAGTATACGTAACAAAATCTAATTGGATTTAACTGGAATTTAATGGAAACTCAGATATCTTTGAATAAAAGTAATAAGGGAAATGATAAGGAGTGGTGAAGTTAAGTCAGAAACAAGTGATAAAGCATGTTTATGTAAGAGTCGAAGGAATATTTCAGCTAGAAGAAGGTAATGCTTTGAGGGGAGATATGAAAAAGGTAGTGTTCAAAGACAAAGCAGGCATTGTCAAGTGCTTTACATGTTTGTTTTCACTTTTGATTCTCACAACTTCTCACTTTAATATTTTCCAATGAGATTACAGTATTTTCCAGTTATAGTATTTTCCTTTTATGGATGAGAAAACAAGCTTGAAAAGGTAAGTAATCTGTCTAAAATCAAATGGCTAGTTAAGAGAGTACAAAGAGTAGAGCCCAGGAATATTTAACCTTAAAACCAGTTCTCTTAAACATTCTTCTTTTAATGCCTCAGGGCAAGGTTCATAGTCCTGCAAAGTATGTCTGGGGAGAAAGCCACAGGACAGGGTTTCTCAAACTTTAGTTGCATATGAGTTTTTAGGGCAGCTTATTAAAATACGTATTCTGACTTAGTAGTCTAGGTTGGGGACCTGATTCTTTTTCAGCAAGCAAGACCTCGACATACTGATGTTGTTCCTCCCTGCCGCTCTTTAATAGTACAACTTTAGAAAACATTGACAATTTATATGTAAGATATTTTTCCTATGACAAGCTCTTTGGTAAAAACTTCAGACCTGTTTTTTTCTTGTAGGTGGCCCTGGAGTCCAGCTCTGCATCAGTGAAGTATTGCCCATCCTGGCAAAGGTGCTTCATGGCCACAAGGCAGAGCCCTTGCATCTGTGCCACCGGCTAGACAAGGAAACCACAGGTGTAATGGTGCTGGCTTGGGAGAAGGAAGTAGCACATCAAGTCCAAGAGCTGTTTAGAACCCGTCAAGTTGAAAAGAAGTACTGGTATGAGGCCCATTCATGGCAGTAGAGGTGATATAAACAGAGGCACCTCTTTCATTCTGTTCATCTGTCATACAGCAGGAACTATTAATAGAAAATAGTCATTCTTAATTAGGGCTGTACAGCAAAATTTTTGGAATTATACAAGAAATACGTGATTTCATTCCTGTGCTGTAATAGTCAAACAATAAAGTAAAAGGCCCCTGAATAATCCATCCACTCCCCATTCTAGTGTCTCCTTTTGAGGTAGCAACCACTGTAAGCAGTTGATTTTTACCCATGTGGTCTTTAATTCATTTACATACATCTAATATAGTATCTATGTATCTAAACACACACACACACACACACACACACACACACACACACGTAATCGGTCTGAAATCAAATAGCTAGTTAGGAGAGTACAAAGAGCAGAGCCCACAAATGTTTAACTTCAAAGCCAGTTCTCTGTATATAAAATACATTATACAATTTACATTCTACTTTTTCCCTGCACTTAACTCTGTGTGTTAGGAATCTTTCCACGGTAGTGCATAGTACATATAGATCTACATCGGGGTTAGTTTGTTTGTTTTTTTTTTTTTTTAAATAGAAAAGAGACACATGAGTCAAAAAGAAACTCTTTGTCTCCATCTGTGCAGTTTACTTCCTTAGAGGAAATCACTGTTACCAGTGTTTTATGTAAATTTCTAGGGTTATACTAGAAGCATATTATTGTAAGACTGCATATTTTATCTACTGCTTTATACTCTGCTGCTTTTGCTTGGATCATATATTTTGGAGAGTGTTTTGTGTAGTGCACTTAGAAATGTTTTGGCTCTGTGGGACTATACAGATGGATATTTAGGTAATCTCTTCTTTTTCAGAGTCTATGGCAAAGAGTGTATGCATATATTTGGCTTAGTCCATTTTCTGTTGTGACAGTACCTGAGCCTACATAATATGAAGGAAAAGAAGTTTATTTTGGCGACAGTTCAGGAGGATGGAAGTCCAAGTGTGTGAAGCTGGCAAGGCCTTTGTGCTGCTTCCGCTTGGTAGAAAGTGGAAGGGCAAGGGCAGAAGAGAAGCAGGAGAGGCAGCCTTGCTTTTATAACAGCCTGTTTATGTCAGAATGATCCAGTCCCTCAAACAAGAGCTCATTCCTTTGAGAATTAGGCCAATTCCACCAGGGCTGCATTCATCCCTCTTAACTGCTTAGTGACCTCTTAAAGGTTCTGCTTCCTGCACCAGCAGGATGGCAATTCAATGTCAGCATGAGTTTCTGCAGGAATAAACTACATCCAAACCATCCAAAATAGCAGTATTTTAATGAAAAAAAATTTTTTTTCTGGTACTCAGAATCAAACTCAGGACCTTGCTCTTTTTTTTTTTTTTTTGAGACAGGGTCTCACTATGTATTTGAGGCTGACCTGGAACTCACTATGTAGCCCATGCTGGTCTCGAACTCACAGTGATCCTCCTGCCTCAGCCTCCCAAGTGCTGGGATTACAGAGGAACTTGCTCTTGCAAGGCCAGCACAAACCACTGAGCTAAATTCCCAGCCCAATAGCAGTTTTTTTTAGAGTAAATTCGTACCATTGGAATTCCTGGGTTGATGCATTTACATGCTTAAAATTGTAAGAGGATCCAAATTGTTCTACAAAACACTGCCAGTTTATAATGCTACTGCCATTAGTGTTGAGTACAAACCTCCCTTTATGTCTGCTGATGTATTCTTAAAAGGTTTGCCACACTAATGGTGAAAAAAACCACTTTTATTTCCTATTCATACTGGTGATCTTGCTTGCCTTTTTGTGTTTATGGGCTGCCTAAGTTTCCCTTTCTAGGAATAGACCATTTATTTTATCTTTATCTAATCTCTTGGGATTGTTATTTTCCATTTGATTCATAAGTATTTATATTTTAAATTTTAGTCCTCTTTGTTTTACAGATTTTGTAGGTATTTTGTGATCTGTGAAGCCCTTTAAAAATCTGTATGCTTAAGACCTAACCGTAGAGGTTCTGATTCATGACGGGTAGCTATGGAGATTGCTCCCCCCATCTCCCCCCTTTCTTTCTCTCTCTCTCTCTCTCTCTCTCTCTCTCTATGTATATGTGTGTGTGTGTGTATTTCTCTCTCTCTATATATATATATGTATGTGTGTGTGTGTGTATATAGCAGCAATAATATATATGTATATATATGTGTGTGTGTGCATGTGCATATATATGTATATATGTGTATATATATATATATGTACACACACACACATATATATACACATATATGAGCAATACTGGGATATCAGGCATGTACCAGTAGGCTTGCCTGGCAACTGTATTTTTCAGAAGCTCCATAAATGGGGATTGGGAATGTAGCCCAGTGATAGAACACTTGCTTAGTATATGTGAGAATTGGGTTTGGTCCTAGTGCTACCAGAAGGCTCCACAAAAGATTAGGATGTCCAGGCAAATTTGAGAACCACTACACTAGATTATGATCAGAGGGTCCCTATCTTAGTTTTTTCTTGTCACTGAGACAAAATACTCATCACTTGTAAATTTCGGCTTACAGTTTGTAGAGGTTTCAGTTTATAGTCATCTGGCTCCAAGGCAAAGCACCACAGCAGAGGGGAAAGAGCTCACGGCGTGGCATATGAAGTAGAATGCAGTCAGGGGAGGAGGGAGGGAGACAGACCCTTCCAAGCTGCCCCCTGTGACCTCCTCCTCCCACCAGGCTTCCCCTCCCAACATCACATTGAGCTATAAACCCTAATCTACTGATGAGTGTCATGCCTGTGATCCAGCCACCTCCCACCTGAGTTATAAACACATGAGGTTTTAGGGGTACACCTAGTTATATACTATAACAGTTCCCCACAGTCCTCATGATTTTCTTAGTTTAATGCTTAGCTTGAGAGCTGGCTATTTCCTGTAAGCCTCTCTTTTACTTTTAAAAGCATGCTTGTGAATTGTAGAATATTTAGGGACAAAAGAAAACAATAATAGATGTATAATTAAAAGAAAATTAGTATGACATGGTTTTGTACCTTTGTTTATTTTTTGGTTTTTTGAGACAAGGTCTCATGGGCGGCCTTGAACTCACTGTGTAGCTTAGGCTGGCCTCGAACTTGTGGTAGTCCTTCTACCTCAGTCTCCTTATTGCTGGAGTTACAGGCATCTTTTTTAAAATGATAGAAGATAGTGGGTTCTGGTCATATACTAAATGAATAAACAAACAAATGAATGAAGCTGGTGAAACATAGGACCAACCCTGTCCTTGCCAGGTAAGTAAAGCAGGAAGGAACTATGGGGAAAAAAGTCACAGAAACCATAGCCAGAACTCAGTAACCCATTTCAGATATCTTTTATTGGTGATCTACCCTCTCATTATATCATAGACAGGCATAGGAAATTGCAAGAAATATTCATGTTACTGTTGAAGGTCTGGTACCCTCTAAAATGACCCAAGTCCCAGAAGATCCTCCCAGGCTTCTGTGACTAAAGCAGCTCTGTGTGTGTCACCCCCAGGGCTATCACTGTGCGTGTCCCCATGCCCTCAGCAGGAGTTGTGGATATCCCCATCATTGAGAAGGAGGTGCAAGGGCAGCAGCAGCACTACAAGGTGGGTGAGTGCCTCCAGGAAGCCAGGGTTTCTCTCCTCAAAAGTCATCTTGATTTACTTGGCTTCAGATGACACTGTCCCCGAGCTACCGCATGGAAAACAGGAAGATGGTGAAGGTGCGGACCAGCCGCAATGCTCAGATTGCTGTAACTCAGTACCAGGTGATCAGCAGCACTGTGTCCTCTGCCCTCGTGGAGCTCCAGCCTGTTACTGGTAAGGGTAACCCTGCTCTTTAGTAAGGTGGCTTCCACCCTGCTCTTCCCTTGTTCTGAGCTCTGGCTTGTGGATGGGCTGAGGGTACAGTGTACTTGTGTAACCGTGTGCTGATCCGAGGGATGCTCCAGAGGGATGATTGGGGATAGCAGTTTGAATAACTTTATTTTAAAACAGGGCCGGGGATTTAGCTCAGTGGTTTCACTGCCTGCCTTGCAAGCATAAGGGCTCAAGTTCGATCCCTGGTACCAAATAAATAAACAAATAAAATGCACACAGCAATTCCTTAAAAAATTACCATATGATCCAGCAAATCTACTTATATATACCCAAAAGAATTAAAAGTAGATATTTGCACACTCGTGTTCACAGCAGCATTAGTCACAATAGCCAAAAGGCGGAGACAACACAAATGCCCTTTGAGGGATGAACAGAGAGACAAAATGCAGCAAACATGTACAAAAGAACATTATTTTCATAATTTCTTTTCTCTGTGTTTCTCAAGGAATAAAACATCAGCTTCGAGTTCACCTGTCTTTTGGATTGGACTGTCCAATCCTTGGTGATCACAAGTACTCAGACTGGAATAGGTTGGCTCCCCAGGTAATACTGGTATGCAGGTAATACCCAGTGTGCATCAGAATAAGGGAGAGAGCTGTGATTTTGTTTCATTAAACAAAATGACTCACCCTTAAATGAGTTACTGGTTATCTAGCTGCAGAGAATTCAGAAACAATTAATTATCATCCTCATGAACTGCAAAATCTATTAGCAAAGCTTTATTGTTTCATGTGTTTGGTCTTAGATTTTGTCAGGAAGCTAATCTTTTTGAAACTTAAAGCCACCTTTCATGCTATTGTATGAACTATGGTGAAATCTTTTTATCCTTTGGTATTTCAACCATTTCTCTAGGAAGGCCAGAGCATTGGCCAATAAGAACTTCTTTGTTGTGGTTGTTTTTTTCTGGGTTCCAAACCCTTCCTAGATGTGTCCCTGAAGCAGGCTGTCCATTACTGGGTCTTCTAAGATGTTTGTGTGCTGAAGCATGGATCATCAGCCTTGCCTTCAAGGGTCTGTCTTTTCTTTGTGTAGAAGCTTCCTGTTGGCACCCTGAAGAAACTGGGACTGATACAGTCAAAAGCTCGCTACATCCCCCTCCACCTGCATGCCCGGCAACTGATCCTGCCTCCCTTTGGGTCTAGGAAGGAGGAACTCCAGCTGGTCTGCAAGCTTCCTCGCTTCTTTGTACATTCCCTGCGCCGTATGGGTTTAGAGATGCCAAATCAAGATGAAAATGAACACAGTGAAGCCAGGCCTCCGGGAGCACAGTGAAAACTATTGGGCAGTTCGGCCCCTGAACTCTTTGCTTTGTTTCATGGATGTTTCTAATGTCTTACTTGGAATGGAAGCCAGGAGAGCCAGGTGGGATAAGTTGAAGAGACCCAGCTGCTTCTGGGCTTTTAAAGGAAAATAATGGCTATTTACTGAGAATTTGTCAACCCTGTAGGAAAGCCTGATGGCAGTTTCCTGGACACAGGGTCTCTTTGCCAAGATGGAAGTGAACCCAGGAGAAGGCATATTGGGACAGTAATTGGAAAAGGAGATCTAAAGCTAGACTCTGGTCAGAAATGGTTTCATCCACAGGAAAGCTTTTGAGCTGTTAGGTTAACATTCATACAGTGGATCCTTGACTAACTTAGTTCATTTGCAAGGGCTGTCCAGTGTTCTTAGACAGACATTGGCGCAGGATTCTCAATTAACCCAATACAGGAAAGGATGTTATAATGTACCTTACAGAACTCTTTAAGTGTTTAATCTGTATCTGAGACCCATCTTAACCCACAGTCGGCCAGCTTTTGGGTCAAGACTTTTGTGGTAAGTTAAAACTAAAATTCCAGTTGTGACCCAAATTATTTTCATGTCAGGCTGGTTGTAAGTTGAGGGCCCACTGTAGTTGGAAGGACTATAACAGTTAAACACAGATCATGGGTCCTGACTTCGATCCCAAGTACTGGGAAAAAATAAAACAGAGATTATGGAATCCTTTCCATAGGAAAACCGTATATATAAACCATATCCGTAGTTTTAGGCATTCACTGGGGGTCTTGGAATGTATCCCTTTTGGTAAGAGTAGACCTTGGTGTTGAGAACACACCTTTCTAAACCTCCTTCCCTATTTTTATACTATTAACATGAGTTATGAATTTAAAAGCACAAATGAGGTGACTATATTTGTTTATATAAGGCCTAAATATTTTGACTTTTTTCCTCTAGTAAACATTCTTGAGACAAGAATGTGACACTTAGGAACTATTGATGATTGACTTTTGTTCAGGGAGACGTGAACAAGGATGCTCAGAGGAATGGAGAACTGTATTAGAAGAATAGATGATGGGAATACAAGTTGATTGGAAAATATAGAAAAGGGGTGGGCTAGTAAGGGTGCACTAGAAAAGAGACTGAGGTTTTATATCCTCTACCCTGTGTTAGGTCTCCTCTCAGTGTGGGTCTACATTCTGTAATTTGGCAACTGAATACTGTATTAAAAGTCCCTGGGGACATTCGCTTATCTCCAGAGTTTGTCATTAATTGGGAAAATGTGGTTCGCTATGTGGTTTGCACAGAGTAGGTGTGGGGTGCGAAGGCCAGCATGAGCCACAGAGCTGGTCTGAGAATTGTGTGATGAACCTGTTCAGCATTGCCATGAATGCTGCACTGCCATTCTTTATGATCTTTTTAGCTCCTTAGTGCTGGGTTTTGTGTTGGTTGTTGAGCTGGGAGCTACCAAGCTCATGACTTTTGGTGTTCGGAGAATTCTTAAGCTACCCTGGGGTAATAGTATCTCTGCATTGGAGATGAGAAGATGTCTGCTCTTCAGCACCTTCCCAGACCTCTCTGAAGCCAAATTCAGCATTATCATGCACACACTCACACTCACACTCACACTCCAAAGAGCTGGCTTCTGTGTCCGCTGAGTCATGGGGTGCCTAAAGACCAGAACAGCAAGATTTAGGAAGATTTAGGGGTGGATTGAATCATAGGATAGGCTATACGATTTTAGTTAATTCAAGTAAGCTGAAATATTCTGATAGGTTTTTCAACAAAGGGGCACTTTAAAAATAATGTCCATTTGAAATAATTTTTATTTATAAATATGAAATATTTTAAAAATTGAATAAAACATAAGGCATATTGTAAGAGACTCAGATACTAGGTCATATAATGTACGTGTGATCAGTTGCCATCTCACTGTTGGTGGGGAGGATGTTCCCGCGCCTGTCATCCCGTCAGAGAGGTCTAGGTTCAGATACGTAACAGATATGTCCAGGCCAGACCTAGCGTTGGGGCACCCAGGGATGACTGCTGTGGATGTGTAGGGACGGCAAGGGGTAGGGTCTGCTTACTGACCTAGGTCACCTGGCAGCAGAGGTAGAACCTGATCTGTTTGAGCTTGAAGGCTGGTGGGTAAAGGAACCCACTGTGTGCCAAATGCTGCTCGATGCAGAAGTAAGCAAGACATTGGTGTTAAAAAGTGAGCACTCAGCCAGGTGTAATGCCAGTACTCTGGGAGGCCAAGGCAGAATTCAAGTTCAAACCCAGCCTAGGTAAGCTAATGACATAGCCAGACCCTGTCAAAATAAAAAATTAAAAAGGGTTGGAATGTAGCTCAGTTCAGAGGCCCTGAGTTTGATCTCTCGTGTTTAAAAAAAGCGATCACTATTCAAGATGCTCAGGGCAAGGGTTGGCTGGCAGGCATTGTGAATAGCCAGGTAGCAAACGTCGGACTTTGCAGCCTCTGTCACAACTATGCCATTTAGAATGAAAACAGCCAAAAGAGGATTACTGAGCAAGACTGTCCCAAAGCTATTTTGTCAATGTAGTCTGCAATAAGTTGTTCGATATAATTTTCATGTGTCACTAAGTGTATTAGCTTGGGCTGTCATAGCAGAAACTGAAGAGGAAAGTAGATGCTCAACAATAAGGCCACACACTGTGAGGTCCAACAGGTGATTTTATTCAGGAGAGCAGATCAGAGGGGGAGAGAGAGAACAAAGAAGGGATGGTCCTTTTATAAGTTTGGGGCTGGGCTATTGTATATCTGTGAGCAAGTGGGCTACTCTTAGCCTGTTGCAAGCCATGTTGCCTTTTAAGGAATTAGCCTTGCAGAAGCTAAGTTTTAATTCTCTAAAACTATTGTGGCCTTGGGAAAAGGAAACTTAAGATAGTAGCATGGAGACATGAAGAACCTGGAAACGCGGCCCATAATGGCGCCGTCAGGTCCCTAACATATTTTTCACCACTGTGGAGGCTGGAAGTCTTAAGATCAGGGTGTGGGCAGGGGAAAGGTCTGGTTTTTCTTTTCTTTTTTTTTTTTTTGAGACTTGTTACATAGTTCAGGCTGGTCTCAAGCTTGTGGCTGGCCTCCAGCCCAGCCTCCCAAGCACTGGGATTATGGGCATGGGCCATCAAACCTGACCAAGTCTGGTTTTTCTTGAGGTCTCTCCTTGGCTTGCAGATGCCTCTCCACCCACTGTGTCCTTACCAGGAGTTTCTCTGTGCATGTGCATCCCTGGCTGCTCTTCCCTACATACACTCTAGCCAGATTGGCTCAGGGGCTCTACCATTGTGGTCTCATTTGACCTTAATAATCTCCTTATAGACTTTGTCTCCAAATCACGTTAGGGCCTTTAACATATGAAATTTTTTCTAACAAGAATTTTGGAGGTGAGAGCATATTTCTATTTGTAATACCAAGTAGTATTATTCTGATCCCCCAACCATTTATAAAATGTAAAAACCATTTCTTCATAGTGCAACTGAGGGAACAACCCATGTAAAACTTCTCGCTTCATTTTAAGCTGACTTTAAAAGACACTAATTTCAGAGTTGTGCTACTGAGCAGCAGCATGTGATTAGTCCCCCACCAACTTTGCTGGAGATGATGCCTCTGATAATAATGGTTTCCTAGGTGACTTTTCAGGGGCTTGAAGGACATTTGTGCTGCAAGCACTGACTTACTTTGTTTGGACCTGTGGAAGTGTCTGATGGTGACTAAAAGAGTGAAGAGCTTGGCATCTCTTCTTTCATGTTGTATCTGTCTCCTTTGCTGTGTTCACATTTGAGGGGCAGATTTCTGCTCAACTCTGCATGTAGTTTTGTTGGTCGTTGAAGTAGTGTTTATCCAGGACTGATTTACCCTAAACTTAGTCTCTCTTCTCCCCTTTCGAGGCTGAAGACAGCAAAATAAGAGTAACTAAGGTTATTTTCAAGGTTTACAAATCATCACGAACTTGGGATTACCTCCAAACCTATTGCCAGGTTTTCTTCCCACTCCAGATCACTGGAAAGTCACCTAAAAGTCGCCAGTTATTTAGTCCTTTCTTAATTTCATCTTCTCCTCTTTGTCCAAGGGTGAAAGGGGCTCAAAACTCAGGCTGAATTAAGATGGTCTTTGTTGGTATCAGTCCCCCATCTCATTTTGCTGGCATTCTCAATCACTTTTTCCTTGTCCCAACAGTTTGTCCTCAATGCATTGGGCCCTTTTTTGAGCAGTGAAGTAAACAGACTTGGTGTTGTTGCCTGTATGTAGATGTCCCCTCAGAGCCTCATGTAGTCATTAGGAAGGCTTTTCAGAAGTAGCTGGATCTAAAGTGTGTGGTGCCAAGATCAAAGGTGTGTGATTACTAAATAAGTCCACTGAATCATTTAGTACTTGCCCTACGCCTGGTAGCCTAGGTAGAATAAAAGAAGCAGGAAAAAGCTGCTTTTGCTACTTAGTTGCCTTGCTACCTTCTACCAACCATGAACTGTGTCTCCTCTGGATGCCCCTCTGCCATGCCACCCAGCCTTGAAGCCAGCCAACTCTCTACTTATATATCTATGAACTGAACTAAAGAAACCTTTCCTCCTTTAACTATGCGTGTTGGGTACTTTGTCTCAGCAATGAGAAAAAGTAATGACGACACTTGGATTCAGTAACTGCAGATCATACAGAAATGTGGTGGGCTCTATTCAGCCCACAGGCTGTACTTTGGTTGTTCTTACCTCTAGTAAATCATGCTTCTCAAAATAAAAGGACAAGACTATGGCACCTAGGAAATATTAATTGACTTTGATTTAGGGAGAAAGTTAAAGAGAGCTCCTGGTATAGTGGGAGTCCAGAGAAATCTCAGGTACTCGGTAACTACCGCCAGGGCCCAGGAAGTAGTCCCCATATTGTGGGATGGATACAGGGAAGCCTGGGCCTAGGAACTGGCTTGGAAGAAGTGAAGCTGCCTGCTGAAGCCTCATAGCATTGTGATGGTTGTGGTAGGAATAAGGGATGATGAAGTTCCTCTTTTTCTGTTTTATTAGGCCTAAAAAATGATTAAATTTGTTTTTGTACTCAATTTTTATTTGTGCAACACACCAAAATGTTGTCAACATTGGCATCCAAAGCACTGCTGGGTAAAGATTTTAAATATCTTTTTTTTTCCTTAAGTTTATTGGTACATTTTAGGTGTATAATATGATGACATTCATCATCAGGAATTTGTACCTTTGCATGATATATCTTGGTTCTTATTTTTTCCTCATTCCCTTGCCCTTCCTTCAACCCTTCCACCCCTCCATATTTACAAAGATTTTGTTTCCATTTTTTCCTTTCCCCTACTCCTCCCACTTTTTCCTCCCCTTTAGACCTTTTGTTACTTTTCACTTATCTACTATAATTTTTTTTTTTTTTTTGGTTTTTGAGACAGGGTCTCACTATGTAGTTGAGTCTTTCCTGGAACTCACTATGTAGTCCAGGCTGGTCTCGAACTCACAGCAATCCTCCTGCCTCAGTCTCTGTAGTGCTGGGATTACAGGCGTGCACCACCACGCCCGGCTCTACTATACATTTTGATCATTATTTACACTTTCAGTTTCTCACACCAGAGAAACTATTTGGTATTTACATGTCTATCCTATAAAAAAAAAATCCTTTTTTTTCCCATTAAGTTTATTGGTACATTTTAGGTATGCAATACAGTTACATTCATCCTTAGGAACTTGTACCTTTACATGAAAAAAACCACACCTTTATCCAGTCTCCAGGTGATGGGCAATGGGGCTGTTTCTAAGTTTTAGCTGTTACAAACTGTGCCACTATAAACACGGGTGCACATATATCGCTGTTGAAAGGGAATTGTGACACTCATCAACTAGGACACGCACACACCGAGAGGTCTGACTGGAGATTTTATTCAGGGAGCGGGAGCAGAGAGGGAGAAGGGGCAGAAGAAGAAGAAGACAAGAACAAAAGAACAAAGAAAGGAATGTCCTTTTATTGGTTTTGGGCTGGGCTATTGCTTATTCATGAGGAGTGGGCTACGTTTAACCTATCACAGGCCAGGTTGTCTTTTATGGGTTCAGCCCTGTGGAAACAGGTTTCAACTTCTCTGTCTCGCTGTGGCCTTGGTGGGAGGGAAACTAAAGATAAAAGCATGAAGTCATTCTAAGAGCCAAGAAGCACCAGGAAAATGCAGCCTGTGTTGGTGGCATCACAGCATACTTTGATCAATTCCCAAACAGCTGTGGTATGGTTCT